TGTGTGTGTGTGTGTGTGTGTGTGTGTGTGTGTGTGCGCGTGCGTGTGTGTGTGTGTGTGTGTGTGTGTGTCCCAGATCCAGTACGGACCAGGCTAGAGTTGCCAACTGTCTAATCACACAAACCCAAACACCCTTGTCCTGCCCGTTCCCCGAGGCCCCACCCCTTCTCTGAGGCCCCGCCCCACTCACTCCATCCCCCCCCCCAGTCACTCGCTCTCCCCCACCCTCACTCACTTTCACCGGGCTGGGACAGGGAGTTGGGGTGTGGGAGGAGGCTGAACCTGGGGTAGGGGGTTTGGGGTGCAGGATCTGGGAGGGAGTTTGGGTGCAGGAGGGGGCTCAGGGCTGGGGTAGGGGTTTGGGGTGCAGGATCTGGGAGGGAGTTTGGGTGCAGGAGGGGGCTCAGGGCTGGGGTAGGGGTTTGGGGTGCAGGATCTGGGAGGGAGTTTGAGTGCAGGAGAGGGTGCGGGGTGCAGGCTCCAGCTGGGCGGCGCTTACCTCAGGCGGCTCCTGAGCCTGGCTGTGTCCTGAGGCCGAGATCCCTGTACCTCCCTCCCCCCAGACTCCCTGCCCCGGCTGTGGCTGCCCCCAGCTGCCCCTGGGTGCTGAGTCCCCCCTGCGCTCTTGTCTCCCCAGTGACGATTTTGTCACCGCTTTCTACGTGGGCTTCAGCAACGACAGCCAGAACTGGGTGATGTACTCCAACGGCTATGAGGAGATGGTACGGGTCCTACCCCCCCCGCCCCCACTGCTGGAGGCTCCCGTCCTCCCCCCAAACCAGCCCCATCTCACCAAGGCGGCCTCCACCGTGTCTGGGGCACAGCAGCTGTAACTCTGGCGCATGCCTCAGGCCTGGGGGGGAAGGGGCGGGATTGAGGGGCACTGGCAGACCTGGGGAGGAGTCCAGGCCTGGGGGTCAGGATTGAGGGGCACTGGCAGACCTGGGGGGGAGTCCAGGCCTGGGGGTTGGGATTGAGGGGCACTGACAGAGCTGGGGGGGAGAAGCCCAGGGCTGGGACTGGGGGTTGGGATTGAGGGGCACTGGCAGAGCTGGGCGGGGAGGAGCCCAGGGCTGGGGATGGGGGTTGGGATTGAGGGGCACTGACAGAGCTGGGGGTTGGAGGCAGGGTTGCCCGGTATCTGCCTCCTTTGCCTGAGCGCAGGGGCCGTGTCCTGGTGCCATGCCTGACGCTGCCCCTTGGGCCTCTCCCTGCAGCTCTTCCACGGCAACGTGGACAAGGACACGCCGGTGCTGACCGAGTTCCCGGAGCCCGTGGTCGCACGCTTCATCCGGATGTACCCGCAGATCTGGAACGGGAGCCTGTGCATGCGGCTGGAGGTGCTGGGCTGCCCCCTCTCCAGTAAGAGACAGGAGCAAACGCACCCACCGGGGCCTGATGCTGCTGAAGCCGCGGGTGGGAGCTGGGGCAGGAAGGACGGGACGGCTGGGGCAGAACAGGCCTGAGAGCCCTGCATGGACAGGCTGGGCCAGGCTGCTGCTGGAGGGGCTCTGGGGCTGCTCCAGGTCCCCCCTCCCCAGTTGCAGGTACTCTGGGGACCTGGTGCAGCACTGGGATGGTCCTGCCCAGGAGCGGGCCTTGGCCTGGCTGAGCCCACCTGGCGCCCCAGAGGACAGGGGGCTGGTCCCACACCAGCGTCCTTGGCAGTGCCAGTGCGCTGAGCTCACCAACTAGCTGGGGAAGCTTGCTACAAGGGGCTCTGGGCTGAGCCCTCCGGGGCTCTCCACCGCAGAACCTGCCCGAGAGGCTCCATCACAGCACAGCCCCTCCCGGGCACCAGGGTCCCTCCCTCTGCCTCCAGGCTCCCAGGCTCTGGGCGGGCGGGTCATGGCTGCGTGTCTGACCAGCGGCTCTGCCCCCTCCCCAGCCGTCAGCAGCTATTACAGCCAGCAGAACGAGGTGACGTCCACCGACAACCTGGACTTCCGCCACCACAGCTACAAGGACATGAGGCAGGTGTGTGTGCAACCCCCCTGGGGATGGGAGGGAGGGCGTTCACCTTTCAGCGTGGCATTCAGAGCCATTCGGAGCTCACTGGGCTGGCTCTGAGTCTCTGCCTGCTGCTGGTCCTGCAGGGCAGCGCCCAGCTCCTGGGGTGTTTCCAGGGAACCCCCTGCCCCCTCTGAGGGGTTAGCACTGCCCTGGCCTCCTATCTGCAGCATTTCCCAGTGCTACAGCCAGCCCCGTGTCCCCGGCAGCTCGGCCCCTTCCCGCAGAGTCATTGCCAGGAACTGCCCCCCCCGCCCCGTGTTCTGCCGAGGTTCAGCGTGACACTGACAGTGGAGATCGACTCTGGCTCCTTTCCCGCCCCAGCTCTGCTCACGGCCAGTAGCCGGCTCATTGATCCCAGGGGCCAGAGCTGCCTGGCACCCGTCTGGGTGATGTCAGCTGATTCCATGAGCCTCTTGGGGCACCCGCTGTCCGCCCCGCTGTGCGTCCCGCTGGCAGGGACTCCCTGGCCTTTATTCCCCTCGGGGGAGAGCAATACAGCCCGCCCCGTCCCCCCTTGCCTTTCTGTTGGCATGGACTTCCCACCCAGGGCCCCTCCGTCCCCGCCCTGGTGCCACCCGGGGTGGGCAGGGGGGATGGGCAGGCCTGGCCCACTCATGCCGCCCTGCTCCCTGCAGCTCATGAAGGTGGTGAACGAAGAGTGCCCCAGCATCACGCGCATCTACAACATTGGCAAGAGCTCCCGTGGCCTGAAGATCTATGCCATGGAGATCTCGGACAAGCCGGGGGAGCATGAGCTGGGTGAGGCGGGGCCTGGGCTGCGGGACGGGCAATGGGGCAGGAACAGCAGGCGGACCCCTTCCCCGTTAGCTGCCTCCGGCCTGGGGATTTTGGTGCAGCAAAGCACCAGACCGCTTTGTATGGCGAGGGGCCAGGAGCCGGTGGCACCGGGCTCCTGGGCATGTTGCCCTACCAGCCCCCAGTATGGCCCCCACAGGGATCGGAGGGGGTCTCTCCCTGCGTGGGGAGGAGCTCCCGGTGGGGTGGGACGCTGCCTGTGTCTGCCCAGCCCGCTGCTACCCTGAACCTGGTGCTCTGTGCCAGTCTCTGCGGGCGCCCTTGGCTGGAGGGCATTGCCGTGACCCCGCGCCCTCTCCCCGCAGGGGAGCCTGAGTTCCGCTACACGGCCGGGCTGCACGGGAATGAGGTGCTAGGCCGCGAGCTGCTGCTGTTGCTGATGCAGTTCCTGTGCAAGGAGTACCAGGATGGGAACCCGCGTGTGCGCAGCCTGGTGACTGAGACCCGCATCCACCTCGTGCCCTCCCTCAACCCCGACGGCTACGAGATCGCCAGCCAGGGGGTGAGAGATCCCCCGTGCCTGCCTGTTACCAGCCGCGCTTGGAGCTCGGCCTGGCTATGTGCCCTGGGGCGATGCAGGAGGGCGGCTGGGTGCAGGGACTGGGTGCTCGGCCATGGGGGGGACCCTGCTGGAGGCAGAAAGCGGGGGGAGGGGTCCTGCTGATGCTGTGATGGAATGAGGCAGGGGAAGCCACGTCTCCGTCAGCTCCATTGTGCCCAGCCCTTGGGGCATGGCAGTGTGGGGGGGTGGGCTGGGCTGGTGCCAGCTGCCGGGGGCCTGCTACTGAGTGGGTCATGCCCCTCCCTGCAGGGCTCGGAGCTGGGCAACTGGGCACTGGGCCACTGGAACGAGGAAGGCTACGACATCTTTGAGAACTTCCCGGACCTGGCCAGCGTGCTGTGGGCAGCCGAGGAGCGGAAGTGGGTCCCACACCGGGTCCCCAACCACCACATCCCCATCCCCGAGCACTACCTGGCCGAGGATGCCCACGTGAGTGCCCGTGGGGGCTCTGGCTCCCGGTCACATGTGCCACCAAGAGGGTGGGACAGCTGGGACCCCTGCCCGCAGGGCTAGTGGGGTAGGCGATCGCAGCCTGCAGGCAGGCCCGAGGGGGGCTGCTGGGGGTGATGGCAGGGAGCCAAGCTGGCATTTAGGGTGGAGCTACTGGGCAGGGTGCCAGCCAATACCTGGCCACTTCATGGAGTGGGGATTAGCAGGGGAGCAGGCAGGCATGGGCACCGGGCAGAGGGGCTCTGCCAGGGGCAGGAGGTGGGGGCTTTTGTGCCCACGGGCCCCAGTTCTGTGTTCCCCCAGGTGGCTGTGGAGGTGCGCGCCATCCTCGCCTGGATGGAGAAGACCCCCTTCGTGCTGGGAGCCAACTTCCACGGCGGGGAGAAGCTGGTGTCGTACCCCTACGACATGGCGCGGCCGCCCCGCGAGGGGGAGGGGGAGGCGGCGGCGGCGGGACGCTCGCTGGACGACTACGAGGACGAGAACCTGGAGGCGCAGGAGACCCCCGACCATGCCATCTTCCGCTGGCTGGCCATCTCCTACGCCTCGGCTCACCTCACCATGACGGAGACCTTCCGCGGGGGCTGCCACACCCAGGACATGACCAATGGCATGGGCATCGTCAGCGGCGCCAAGTGGCACCCCCGCGTGGGGAGTAAGTGGGGGCTGGAGGGGGGGTAATGCTGCAGCAAACACCCGCCAGTCAGAGGTGCCAGGGGCAGGGGGAACTAGGATACAGGGCTCCCTTTGGGGAGGGTGCCAACATCGCCCTCAGCACAGCCCCCAGGACCCATAGTGCTGTCCCCTCCGCTGGGTGCCCCCTGCCCCACAGGCCACTCTAGCGTCACCCCGTCCAGACGTTTTCCAGAGCTTTGTTCGCAAGGCCCTGCATGCCGAGGCTCCCGTCCCCCCACCTGGGGGTTCAGCCCCCCATTGCTCCTTGTCCCCCCCCCCCACCGGGCAGCACGGGCAGGCAGGGATCACTGGGCTGGTCTCTTCCCACCCCCCGTTCCCACCGCTCTGGCCTGCTTCACCCAGGCCAGGCGCTCCCTTGGCTCAAGGCCGCCCGCCCCCAGAGGCTGGCACCGCTGCAGCCAGGCTGCCTGCCCCAGGGACCCTGCCGCCCCCTCAGGAGGGGAACGTTCCCCTGCCCAGCCCCACCTGCCAGTGCTGATGGCCCGTCCCCCCTTCTCTGCCAGGCCTGAACGACTTCAGCTACCTGCACACCAACTGCCTGGAGCTCTCCGTCTACCTGGGCTGTGACAAGTTCCCCCATGCCAGCGAGCTGCAGCAGGAGTGGGAGAACAACAAGGAGTCGCTGCTCACCTTCATGGAGCAGGTGGGACGGGGGAACCAAAGCGGGGGGACTGGGAGACCGGGGGGGCCCTGCAGCAGCCCCAGGCTAACAGCCTTTCCCTCGGCAGGTGCATCGGGGCATTAAGGGAGTGGTGACGGACCAGCAGGGGGACCCCATTGCCAACGCCACCATCATCGTGGGAGGAATCAACCACAACATGAAAACAGGTACGGCCATGTCCCTGGGCGCCCCCCCCCAGCGATCCCCCGGGCGCCCTGGCCTCACCATGGAGGGTCCCCAGGCACCCAGCCGCCCCAGTCTGCAATGGGTGCTGTTCTTCCCCTCCACTAAAGGGCACCCAGCCTGGGCCCACCCCTGTGCCCGGTGCTGTCCCCTCTCCCTCAGGGATTCAGCCTGTGCCCACCCAGTGACAGGCGCTGCCCCCACCTCTCCCTGGCCTTACACCAGAGCACAGACCCGGCAGCCGTAAGTGTCCCCGAGCTGGGCAGCCCCACAGCCAAGGTTGGAGGTGCCCAGCCCTCACCAGGAGGGGGGCCCTGACTGCGTAGGCCAGGCCTGGCCCTATGGCACGGCTCTGCAAAGGCCAAGGGGGAAGCAGGGGGCATCCAGGCTAAGCCTCTCTCCAGAAGGGTGCTGACAACGCTGTGAGGTGCTGGGCAAAACCCC